CAGCAAGGAGCACTGATGATGATTTATTCGGAATCGAAATATGGCCTTATTTGCAGCATGAATTCGAAAAATAAGTTTATTTTGAATTTTAATAAACTAAACGTTCACCAAAAAACTTTAGTGAGAAAAATCGAAAAAACGAACTACAAACATATTAACGCCAAACATTCGGTAGAATTTATAGAATATTGTAAAAATTATGGTCTGTTACCAACATATATAAATATATATATATATATATATATATATATATATTTATATTTATCTGATTCTATCGACATACTCATCGTCACCATTTTCATCTTCATCTTCGTCATCACCACCATCATCTTCGTCGTCGTCATCGCCATTAAAAATCATACATTTTCGTTACCGCTTGTATTCCGCATGATTTACAATTAACCTTCCTGCCATGTTCATTTCTCCATTTATGACATTCTTTCCATCATTTTTTGTTTACTCATTTTTTTTCATTTCCTCATTCGCTCTCTTCAAGCTTCTTCCGTAATTCACTTCTAATTTCACTTCTTTATTTTTCTTTCCATCAACCAATCAATCAATCATGAACCAAACATGCAATTTATTCAGTCTCTCAAATTATTCCAAGCATTCAGTCATCTACATTTCTTTCCTTCAGTTTTTTGCATTCCTTTCCTCGTTCATCCATTTTTTCCACCATCATTCATTCTTTTCACCATCATCCGTTCTTCCCAGCATCCATTCTTTCAATAATTCGTTCTTTCACTCATTTCTTTTATCAGTCTGTCAATCTGTCTATCAACTGGGAGCGCGTCTGAAGTGCGAGAACTATATGCATTGGTAATTAAAATGCGAATATAGGCTTATACATTACCCAGACACACTCAGAGAGAGAGAGAGAGAGAGAGAGAGAGAGAGAGAGAGAGATACTGACACGCACGCACACAAACATATATATACCTTTATATTGACGTGTTGTGTATGTAACCCTTTTTTGTCTGAATTCACATATCTGTTTTGCTCATTTAGCCTTAATCCTGTTTGAATCCAATCAATCAATCCTCCCCAAAAGTTGAAGTAGTCAGTTCATCCAATCAATTAATCAATCAGCCAACCAGCGACAGGTACAAAAGAAAAAAGAACTCGCAAATTCTGGTCTGGTCTTTAAATAATGAAAAAATTGAAGGGCTGATGAATTGCGTGAAATTTAGTAACGACGGTAAGTGGAAAGATAAACTAGAAATACTAAACTAAATTTGAACTGTAACATTTAGAAACCGAGAGTGCGAATCGATTTCAAAATAGCACCCACAGTTTATTCGCGACCACCAAGTTGTCTTATTAAAAAAAAACTTTTCTTTCACCCAAGCAAGGCTCAAAAATTGTCTTTTTTATAAAAAAAGACTTGTTCATGCAATTCAACTTTTCCCAGCAGAAACCAAATCTTTTTCATGTCTCAACTGCTACTATTCATAGATTTTTCATAACTTTACGCTGCTACTGAAGAGTTTTTAAACGATGGAAACCAACTTTTTTGTGGCTAGCTGGACTTGCTCACAAACATGAACCAACAGCCATAAAATAAGACTGCAACGATTGGTAGGAAATTTTTTGCCATAAAATCATCAACAAAACAAGAAAAAAAACTGCAAAAGTGAAAAATTAAAAACTGTGAAGCTGTCTCTTTCAATAGAATTCATCAAACCAGCAACTTGCAAATTCGTCAACGAACGTTTTGAAACAACGGCAAAAAAACAGAAAAAACTAATCAAAGTATGTCCAACTGAAGAATTATTTCATCAGTATACTTTGACAAATTTATAATGGATGTAATTTGAAAATTGAATTGTTAAATAAACATTTATATCTCCATAGAGCTACAATAAAATAAAATAATAATAATAACAACAATAACAATACATTCGTTTGTTGTTCATTGATTCATTCAATAATACATGGCAAGAAAACAAATAAAATAAACGTAAACCATGCATGACAAACAAAATTCAAATGCAAGAAAACTGGGAGAAAAAATTGCCAATTGAATAAGCAAACTGAATAAGCGGTCTACTCTTAATCATAAATATTTTAAATATCACTTATAAATATGACAACAATGATGACAGCAACGAAGACATGACAACCGGTACAAAAAGTTCAAAATTCTTCAAAATAATGGGTGAAGCCCCGCCAGGGCATGGTTTATCGGGTCTCTTCCCACCTCCACTTCCACCCCCATCACCGCCACCACCACCGCCGCCGCCGCCACCACCATCCCCACTTCCACCTCCTGACTGTCTCTGGCCTGATCCGTGCTCAGTTTCGTAAATAAGAGCACCTACTGTCCAATCTAATTGCGTTTTGTCATTATGTGTGTGTGTGTGTGTGTGTGTGTGTGTGTGTGTGTGTGTGTGTGTGTGTGTGTGTGTGTGTGTGTGTGTGTGTACAGTAATTAAACGACTTACAATAATTCTATTAAAGAACAATCATAATATTAATAAAAATAATAATTGAATTTATGTTGATATAAGTCGAAATATACAATGTCAATTGTTGGTATTATTATTACGGAAAGAAAGCTGACCAATATCGACGCCCTGGATCTGTTTGACAGGAGTAATTTGTTCGGTACCGTCTGGAAATTTGAAGGCATCACTCAGCAGGACGGAGAAGTACACTGCCATTGTGCAAGCATCCATCATGAAAACTTTCTTACCCTTATTTTCTGGCTTATCCAATTCGTGTGTGGTTTTGAACACAGTATAGTCCTGAATGTGCGTAATGTGTCGTAGTACTAATGTGTGTGCAGTGTATAAGTTGCACGCTTCATTGGATATTCGCTGTGTGTATAAGACAGTTTCGTGTAGGTATCTATTAAAACAATGTTAGTGTTTACTAAGTACATTGTATCGAGTACTGTATACTTAGTACTGCATAAAAAACATTACATGCGACTTTGTGACGTTCTTGTTTATGGAAAGAATGATATTCGTTGAATTCCCTTGTCAACAGAAAGAAAATTTGCTCATCAAACGAAACAGCAACGCGTGTGTACATTGCTACTTCGATGTAATGATGATGATCATTATTTACAACATGCGGAAATAATTTTTATGCGTTGAGGAGATACGAAGCAGATATTACAACAGACCTGTGAGCAGTACTCCCTTGCTTTTTCTTTTACAACTGGTACTTTGAATGGTTTGTCTAAGACCACACCAATATCCTTAAACGTGTTGTAAAATGCTCCAATACTGACGAAATTCTGCAAATATTTGTGTTCTCATCTACTCTGCTGACCGACATCAATTTGTAAGAACGTATATAGAATGAACGTTACGGAATGATGAAACTTTTTTTAATTTTTCAAAATTTTCATGACGAGTAAAGCAATTGACTAGTTAAAAATCACAAAGGCCTTAATATATTTTTATTTGCCTCCTTCACAGAGAAGATACACAAACATCCAGGCTGAGACAGTTTGTACAGTTCGAATATTTGAGCTGTGTGAGCAAACGAAAGATGTCAAAATCATCGGCGTAAATCTTAAGTAACGAATTGAAGAAAGTAATTGGAAAATTTTTAAAAGTTACCAATAGTCCACATAAGTGGCCAAGAATAGACCAGTAGACCAACAAAAACAGCCACTATGAAGCATGAATCTAATAAATAATAATGATAACCATGTCTTTTGGTATGGATGGTTGATAGACATTGTTGACTGTGCATGGTTCCGGACTACAAAAATCATTAGCTCTAAAAAGTTTCTTGACTGCCACTTCGCAACCATTGATATCACCGGTACCCTTCCAGTTTTTAGTGTCTGTATCTTTTTTTTTCTCATTAAAATCTGGAATGACAAAGTGAGATTTCACTAGTTGAAAAAGCGTTTCATTTATTTCTTAATCTTATTTTATTATTTCATTTTATTATCTTACTTTACTAACATTCCAGTAAAAACGTTTTAAAAAAATTAATCAGGGGTAAAAGTAATAAAAGCAATAAAAAGCCATAGCAATGAAAAAAATAACATTACTTTTCATTTTGCATGGGTCAGTAACTGGATCAGCTGTCCCAGAGGCATTCAGAGCACCTTTTTCTAGGTTGTCAACGACAGCATCCTGACCATAATTCATGAAACTGTGTGCATAGATGAGGAATGTATTGGTGTAAAACTTGAAGTAGTAAGCGCTGTCAAGTATCTGAGCCTGAGGTACAAATGCTATTTGGAGGGATGCTCCACCACACTCCAACACGCCGCGGGTGGTTTTGCCTGTTGAGCTTGAGCCTTTCAAATTTCAAGGCATAATTTTTTTAATAATTCAAAAAAAAATCAAAATCTAACAAACCTAGAGGTCGGTACAACATGCGTAAATACAACAAAATATAATTACAGCAACGATGAAAAATAATGAAAAAATGAAAAAACATCCCATGAATCAATAAGATATATCCAATCAATATCCAATAAGATATATTTAGATATTAAAAAACTCAAAATGACTTTGGAAAAAATAAATGAAATAGTCTAGTAAACTAAAAAATATGAAACTGGTAAATAAGTAGACAGATTTATGAAAGTCAGTGAAAACAAATGCTTGATCCCGTTAGTACATGGTAGCTTGTATTATTTTGATTGTGTTTAATGTCTGGAGATTTTTGAAAAACGTGATACCATCTAAATTTCCTTGGCGGTAGTTAACAGTGATCCAGGAGAACAATCCTTCTTCCTGACCAGCAAGGATTCGTGCAGGTACTTCCACTTTGAATGGACATTTTGTCTTGTCATTCAGCAGTTGGTTGATACTTTCGAATACAGGTATTGCTTCAAGCTCTTTTAAAGAACGCATCCCTTGTGAAAAATTTTTTGAAATAATACACTTACGTTACTTTCATAAATATTTTGGCAGCGTTGGTTTATGTATAATATTTTAGCAATAATTAAAATCTTTAAAAATCTTTTAACTGTGAACATAACTACAATTACGTCAGAAAAGTATTAAAATGCAAAACCTGCAGTGGCCATGAAATAGATGGGCGATTTTGAATGTTGATCAGCTGGCACTTTTCCCTTGGCAAAATTCAAAAGATCATTTATTTTATTTTTAATTCCCTCGACATTAAGGTCCTTTACGTACAACTTTGCTAAGCCACCAGGACTTTTTTCGCTGCCTAGCGCTTCAATTTTTGGCAGTTTGTTACCAGCGACCGGAGTCAACTTGTAAACCCAACATCGGGTGCCAGAACTGCCAGCGTCAACAACGACGGCGTAACCAGGGGATGTGGTGGGCATGCAGTCCATGCAGGCGGTCATCAGAGTGAGGAGGATGGAAAAAGACATTGTTGCATTCCTGCTCTGTACGCAAGTTTTTAGAGCTCTCAATTTATTAGACCCCGACATTTTGTTGGATGAGAGTTCACAACGAAAACCAAAGTTTAATGAGTAAAAAATTAATCTTTATGTAAATATTTTTTAATAATCATTTGTTTTTATTTATTTTATTATTATTTGGAAACAATCAGGACACTGCCCGGCAGTGCGCAATCGATTCAAAAATTCAAACGAACCGTTAGAATGGACACAATGATCAAAGACTCTAAATTTTTTTGTTAAAAGCATTTTTATAGTGAGAATTATGAAAATTAGTTTGTCCTCTCATACTTCGAGTGAGGATGTATTAAAACAGTCCGGTTATGAAAAGAAGAAGTTACTACAGATAATCCGACGGGGGCAGTTAAAGTTTTTGGTCACATCATGCGGAAGGATAAAATGGAAATTTTAACAACTACTGGAAAGATTGCAGAGAAAAGAGATCAACAACGAACAATATTTGTGAAGACCTTGTGTCACTTGTTGAATATCACCACGTTTCAACTACTACAAAGTGTTAAAGATCGGGTTTTTAGGAGGTCGTTGGTCGCCAATGTTCTGAAAAGATAAGACACGAGAAAGAAGTGAAAGGATTGTAATTTTGTTATAAATTTATATAAGATTGTAATTCGTTAAATATTTAAATTGTATTTATTAATATTTACAATGTAGTTTACAATGTAATTCAATATTGTTGTTCAAACATTACGCTAGTCTTAAAACATTCAACGTCCGTACGTCCGTAGTTACCAAATGTTATAAATCAGTGTTTTTATTGCTTGATCGCTTCAATTAATTTTTAATTTCGAGCAATTTCAACAACATCATCATCAACAACATCATCATCATCACTACACACAAATAAATGCACGCAAACATACATTCACACACAAACTCGCACCACTAAATTTGAATAAAAACTAACTTAACATTTGAGTACATCGCTCTTATTTCTCTCTTCTTGAAGAAATTTAAAAACCGTCCTTTTTCACGGTTTGTCGTGCGTGTGTAAACACACGTTTTGTTGAATAATTTTTCGTCTGATTTTAGTCTGCTCATTTAGCATAATCTTGTTTAAATCTAATCAATCAATCCTCCGATAAATCAAGCAAATGTTGAAGCATATAGTCAAATCGTCATCTGACCAATCAACCAACAAGCAAACCAACCAGCCGACCAAATGAATCAATCATTCAACTGATAAAGCAATCATCGCCACAAACCAGCCACGCAATCTAAATCCGCTACACATTTAATTGATATTATTGCATGCAAAAATTCTGTTTAACGACCTTAAAAGATTTTTTCATTTTCAAAATAAAAAAAAAAAAAAGAACAAAAACTAATCTGTTTTTCTTCAAAACCACACTTCAAAACGTTGATTAATTAATTTAAATCACAAAAAAAAAAAACAGAAATAAAAACTCAAAAAAAGCCACTAAAACAGTTTTTAATGGTTTTAGGCTGAAGTTGCCAATTATATTAATTCCCCGAATCATAAACCTCAACCAGAAGCAAGAGCGACATGAGGCCATACTCTTTTTTTACACAGGAAAAATGAACAAATATAAATATAATGACGGTCTTCCATGTCAAAGTTCAAGTGCTATAGTTCAATTCCTATACTAAAACTTTATGGTCGGCAATATTCAGGACAAAAGTATTATAAATTTCAACGATTTGAATGGGAAAAAAGGTAAAAACTGAAATTAAATTCTTAAATTAAAATTTTCAAAATAAAAAGACGAAAAAATTTAATTAATTAAAAGTTACTTGAATAAAGAGTTAAAACGATCAAGCTTACCTCAACCTGTAATACTTATCAACTAAATAATCAATAAATACAATTATTACACATTATGCATAATAATGTAATACAAGTATAATGTTCAAAAGAAGCCAGCTCATCTGTGTCAGTGGAAAGATTAACATGCAGTACTATATACATACATGTATGTGTGTGTGTGTGTGCGTTTGTGTGTGTTTGCGTACATATTGTAACATATCTATTCATTTATATACATTGTTAAATGTTCAAATCTATTAGCAAACTTAAGCAACGATGCAAACTTTTATTAATTAAGAAAAAAAATTAAATGATGAAAAAGATGTTATGATATTATGACAGCGAGATTGACCAATAAACTGACAATAAAATAAAAAAAATACAAAAATAAAATGATAGAAAATAATATGAAGACTTGATAGGAATATAATATTACTTAATAATTATTATTAACATTTAATAATGCAGCAACAGTAACAATGCAAAACATAAAATACCTCAAAATAATAAAATCCAAAAGATTTATAACAAGAACAATGACTTCAAGTTTTGTCCGTCCATATGCATGAAGAAGGAAAAGCTAATAAAAGAATTTTTATCAGCATATACTACAAATTAATAAAAAACATTTTGGAAAAAAAAATTAATAAAATAAATAATGGAAAAAAAGAAATAGTTTAAGTTAATTTTAAAACACAGACTAATATTTTTGATTAGAGAAATTGTGCTGGAAATATAAGGAAAAAAAACAAATAAAGATACATCGTCAAAAACTTGAGGTCGACTTTGAATCGTAAGCAAAAATTTGTATTTCGAAAAAATTTAAATTGAAATACTCTCTCTATCAAAAAAAAACTATTTCTTGATAAGTTCAACAGAAAATGATGTAGACTCACTGACACAAATTTACATACACAGACACACATACACAGACACACATACACAGACACACATACATAGACACACATACACAGACACACATACACAGACACACGCATATATACACATAAAGAAGACTTGTATGGATGAATTCAATAAAGGTAAAGATGATAAAAACAATGGTAATCACTTTTTATAAAGAATTTACAGTCCTGTTGCAAAATTAATGTAAAGAAACTTAGCTTTATGTGTTTTATAGCAACATTATTCAGCTATACTTCATATAAAAAAATTTAAAAAAACTTAAACGAAAATCGAAAAGAAGGAAATCCCTCTAAAATGGTATGACCTCAACCAGTTGTTTCTTGCTGTGGCACTGTGGACAGCAGCTGATATCCATGACGTAGACAGTCGTGGGATGGACAATGCACCTCTTCCTAACACGTCCCTTCAGCTCGTAGGAGCATAGTTTGCAGAGCACAATCTGCTCAGGCCTGTCACAAATACACTGGAGGTCTTCTGCATTTGATTGTTTCTCATTGTTTTTATAGGATTCCTGTTGTAGAAAATTAATTAAGTTTATCTCTAAACTTATTTATTTTTTTTAATATGTACAACATAAACATAAACATAACAAAACGTAAACAACAAATAGTTTGATATAAATATATGTTATAGTAACAGTTATAGAATGGTGACCACTATAAATAAATACTCAAATCAATTTTGACTAAAATTTCAAGTGTGTCACAGAAAAAATATTAACTAAATAAAAACTTATTTCTAAATTTTAATTTAGTATAAGCATCTTTTTGTTTATTAATTAAATTTATATTTGACCCATATACAACCAACATAATAAATAAAATTGATGGTATATCTGTATTATACTATATATTAGCAGGTCGCATAACGTTGAAAAATGCGGAAGCGCGCGCGCTGAACTTTAACGAATTTTTCTGAAAGTGAATTTATATTGTTATCGCAAACTCGCGTTTTCGTCGTCGTTATTTTTGTTTATTTTTCGAAAATGCGCCCATCTATATAATTTTTGGTTGTTATGAGCGATGAAAGAAATGTGTATTATTATAAAAATATTTTTTCTTTGTTGTTGTGAGTCACATTTGTTGCAGACTATTCGCTACGAGGTTGGTGTATTTTAATTTTTTTTATAAAGTTAGTTAAACATGGACAACACCGATTTTTTTTGAAGAAATGTGATAATTAACCAATTATTAACATTCTGTGAAAATATTTTTGAAATTAGAGTATAATGAAATTTTTTATGGATTTTTTTCCGCGTGCACCGTCGGTCACTAAAATGCATTGTATTGGCTGTGCTTTTTTATAAGAATGTTCATAACTGCTAAGTTTCATGGGCAACACCGATTTTTTTTGAAGAAATGTGATAATTAACCAATTATTAACATTCTGTAAAAATATTTTTGAAATTAGAGTATAATGAAATTTTTTATGGATTTTTTTCCGCGTGCACCGTCGGTCACTAAAATGCATTGTATTGGCTGTGCTTTTTTATAAGAATGTTCATAACTGCTAAGTTTCATGGGCAACACCGATTTTTTTTGAAGAAATGTGATAATTAACCATTTATTAACATTCTGTCAAAATATTTTTGAAATTAGAGTATAATGAAATTTTTTATGGATTTTTTTCCGCGTGCACCGTCGGTCACCAAAATGCGTTGTATTGGCTGTGCTTTTTTATAAGAATGTTCATAACTGCTAAGTTTCATGGGCAACACCGATTTTTTTTGAAGAAATGTGATAATTAACCATTTATTAACATTCTGTCAAAATATTTTTGAAATTAGAGTATAATGAAATTTTTTATGGATTTTTTTCCGCGTGCACCGTCGGTCACGAAAATGCATTGTATTGGCTGTGTTTTTTTATAAGAATGTTCATAACTGCTAAGTTTCATGAGCAACACCGATTTTTTTGAAGAAATGTAATAATTAACCATCTATTAACATTCTGTAAAAATATTTTTGAAATTAGATTATAATGAAATTTTTTATGGATTTTTTCCGCGTGCACCTGGCAGTCACGAAATTCAAAATGCGTTGTTTGAGTTGTATTGGTAGTTTTTTCATCAGAATGTTCGTAACTGCTAGCAACAACGACAATTTTTGAAGAAATGTGATAAATAACCATTTATTTAACATTCTGTACAAATATTTTTGTAATTACAATATGATAAATTTTTTTTTGATTTTTTCCCATGATCAAAAATCCATTGGTTGTCTGTGTTTTTGGAATAGAATGGTCATAACTATTAAGTTTCCTGCTTGATCATTATTATTATATTATATATGATATTATATATATAATATATTATTATTAATAATTTTTTAAGAAATGTAATAAATAATCATATATTAACATTCTGTAATATTATTTTTGAAACTGTAATTCAAGTGAATTTTTTTAATTTTTTTTCAGCCATGCCACAATTAGTAAAAATAATAAAATTAAAAAATAGTTGAGACATAATTTTTTGTTCAATTCATTATCAATTTATTTTATAGTTATTGGTCAGCCAACCAGTCTGAACCCAGAAGCTCCTTCATGCAGTTCAACAGCTGCCCAACATATATATATATATAAATTATAATATAATAATAAAAATATAAATACCATTGTAATATGATTATGATTATTAAATTTTAATATATAAATAATATATATAAATTATAGATACATATATAATTATTTTATAATTATAATTAATCATTTATAATTAAATTTTATTATAAATATAAATTATTCATAATTATTATTTTCTTATTATACAGCTGTTATAAAAACAAGAAGAAAAATTGTGTTGTGTTCAATTTTAAATCGTTCTTTTCACGTCTTGTGCGCGAATGTAACGCTCCATGCTCACTTAACATTGAGCGCCACTCTTAACATGGCGCAAGTTGAAAGTAAAAATAATTCTTTCAAAATTCGTTTTCTCGGTAACTATAAATGCTACAATAATAAATTTAGTATTATTTTAATCAGCAAATTTTACTTTATAAGAAAAAGTAGTTTATATACGAAAAAAATTTTTTTTAAAAAGTCGTGCGACCTGCTACTATATATTTTTATTATGTATTGTTTGTTACATGAAATGATCAACTAACTTTCTCCATATTATTGATTGAGACGGTCACTGCACGTGGCAAAACCACTAATTAGTTACAGCTGTTCGTTGATGGGTTAGTGCTCTCCCTTCGATCAGTTACTACTCTAACTTCCACTCACTTTACTGTTTAGGACAGGTTTTAGTAAAATCGTTTTACGCATTTACCAGTGGGCGAATACAGGGTATGGTTTGATTGAATTGAAAGGAAATATTAGGCAAACTAAAACATTCAAACTGAAAAAAATTATTCAAATATTGCAAAATGAAATGATTATTCCAAATCAAGAGAGTACAAACCTAATCCACCATTTAAAAAATCTCTCGAGAAAGAAGTTTGGCAGCATAAAAGTTTTAAAAAAAATGATGTTGAGTTAAAAGTGAATCTAACTTGAACATTCTATTTAATTAAATTTTATTAAACAGTTATTATATTATTTATCTAAAAATGTTTTAAATTGTTATTTTGATTGCAATTGTCTTTAAAAAATTTATTTCAATTTAAAAATCTGATACACTTTTAAATAACAACCATGCTTAATGTCACGGTCGTCAACAAGATGGCTGCCCTAAAGCCTTATATTGGACTTAAAGGTTTCAAATAATTTCCTGGTTCCAATTTTTTACAATTTTTTATTAGCAAATTCTGATTTGATTTTTAGTGGTTTAATTAATTTAACTTATTTAATACATTTTCATGTAAATTTCTCCATGTTTTATCATGATCTTTCCCAGTCCATTCTATCACCAGAAAGACCTGACCTGACACGGACAACTTGACAGACAGTGTGTACTATAGCCTATAGGGTAGACCAAAATCAAATTAAATTAACATAATTTTTAATTCCATATTCCACTAGGCATAAAGTTTACTAGGATCATCGGAGTAGAGTTTTTGGATAAGCGTTACACGCACAGTGATGTGGTGAAAAGTCAGTATGACAACTTGGCCGCCTACAGAAGAGGGAAGGGTGGCAGAGCTTCTTTCAGTGGTGTTGTTGCTACAGTTTTTGGCTGCACTGGCTATCTAGGCCGTTATATTGTTAACAGATTAGGTTAGCACACTTAACTTTTCATCAAATTTTTTAATTTTTTTAATATCAGACGGATTCAGATATATATATATATTATATATTAACATATATATATTTGATGTATATGCAGGTTTTCAAGATATTATTGTATAATGAATAAAATAATAACTCAAAATTGTGATTAAGTCTAATCTATTTTAATGCCTTACTATGATTGAATATATATATATATATATATATATATATATATATATATATATATATATATATAGAACAGATATTAATTATGTCGCTATGTGTAATCAATTATTAATTACCTTCATAATTTTTTCAGGCAAAGTTGGAACTCAAGTAATCTGTCCCTACAGGTGTGATCCGTACTACTTGAAGGATTTGAAAATTGGAGGAGAGCTTGGCCAAATTTTGTTTCTAGTCAGTTATCAACTTTTTTTTAATAATTTCACTCAATTTTTTTCTTAAGTATATGAATGTGATAAATATCTAAAAGCACTTTGTAAGTTTTTATATATTTATGAATACAGCCATTTCATTTGAAAGATGAGGAGTCGATGAGGAAAGCCATGAAGTACTCAAATGTGGTCATCAACTTGGTTGGCAGAGATTGGGAAACAAAGTACTGCTGGCTTCTTTCGTTTTGAACATCAATTAAATTAATTCTGCGAATAAATTTTAAATTAATTCAATTCTGAAAAATGAAAAATATAAAAAATTTTTAATCATAAGGCTTCACCTAACAGTAGGATGTTGTTGAAATTAAAATTCTGTTGATCGTTTCCATTTCAAGAAATTTCTCCTTTGAGGATGTCCACATTGACGGTGCCCGTAGACTTGCACGCATTGCAAGAGAATCAGGTGTAGAGAGGTTCATCCATGTTTCTCACCTACTGGCCCAGCCCAACCCTCCAACCATCTACCAGAAGAAACCCTCCAAATTTCTCAGTTCAAAAGTTGGTCTTTCAGCTAAATAACTCCAATAATATCACAATGAAATGGTTTTTTAAAACTTTTCAGTATGAAGGAGAGTTAGTAGTCAAGGATGAATTTCCAGATGCAACCATTTTCAGACCAGCTGACATTTTTGGTGCAGAGGATAGGTTTCTGAGATATTATGCCAATGGATGTGAGATTGCAACTTTTTATTTGATGTTTCACATTCTCTTGTTGCCTGTTTTGTACGGGCATTTGATTGAATAATGTCCTACTGGTGATTATTTATAACTTGGTTATTTAGTTTTTAATTCCCTGGTGTATTAAGTCTTATTTTATATAAATACTGTTTAAAAATTGATTAATTATTGTCTTCGCTTTATTTAAATTTAAAAGCATTATTAAAATTTGATTTATTATTTTAAATTAACAGGGCGTAGAGCAAGAGGGGCCATGCCCTTGTGGAAAGGAGGAGAGCAGACTATTAAGAGACCTGTTTATGTTGGTTCCTGTATTCTCTTCTCTTGTTGTTTCATCTTTTTCTCTTTGTTTCATTTTTAGCAAACTTTTTCTAAACCCATCATCTTTTGAACTTTTTTCCCACACATCTATTATTCGTTCTAATCTTTGGTACACATTGCACACTATGTTAGTTCTTTCATGATATCGTCTACTGTAATCTTAATACATCCATCCCAGTTTGGAGACATAGCAGAAGGAATTGTGTCGGCTGCTCTTGACTGTTCAACTGCAGGCAAAACATACGATTGTGTCGGGTTAGTTTCTCTTCATTTTTACACTTTATCAATCATCCAGCGATCAAATTGTCCGAATATAATAGCGGATTTAAGAAAATGAGTTTAAGCAACTTTTTTCAAAATATTTTTGGTGTTTATCACAGACCACATAGTTACAAGTTGAGTGAGCTGATTGACTACTTCTACAGATGCATGAGATTCGAGAATTTTAAAAGGATCTACTTGTCACCACTTTTCTTGTCAGTAATAGTTTATTTGAATTTTCATTTCATATTTAACTTTTTTCAACCAAGTCAAATGTTTTTAATAAAAATTTCTAAATAGTCACCTCCTAAATGATGTTAATAACATTATTACTACTTACTGTTTGAAAGGATGAAAGTTAAAATGATGAATTACGCTCCATCTAATCCCATCCTCAATGTTGACAAATTGGAAAGGGTAAGTAAAGAAATTTGTTTCCAATTATAAACCAAACATAACTGAACCAAACGTGGGTGCAACAAAATTTTTCATAAATTCCACCGAAACATGGATAACAATTTGATAGTGATAAATCTATCAGACATAAACAAAACACAACATAAATAGATAGCTCAAACATAAACTAAACCTCAAAACAGTTTATAAAAAGCAAACACAACATACACATACATATTCGAGGAAAAATTTATGCCAACAACAAACAACAGGAGCATATAAGTGACGAGTTACATGATCAACTGACTTTGGAAGACCTTGGTGTCAAATTAACTCCACTGGAATCAAAAACCATATACGAACTGAAGCCCTACAGGAGTCATTCATATTACGAGGAAAGTGTCGGGGAATATCCAGATCCCGCCCCACCTCAACAATATGTCTTCTGAACGAATGAATGATTATGCTAATTTCAATTGAGGAAGAAGCATTTATTTAATGCCAATTTGTAATTAATGATGTCAGATGATGTTTACATGTAAATCAATATCTACCTTAGATAACATTAATGATAGGGAAATGTGAACACTGTTTAAATTTTGAGATGGTGGTTTAAAATAATTTAGAATAAAAGAAATAAAATTGACGGGCTCTGTTTCATTGTTTATCATTTCTGACAGAATTTTCTGATTTTTTTTTTACTTTCAAACGTCAAATAACAACAAAACATTAACAGAAGAATGATTCAACTGCAAAACAATATAATATCCATCGAATATGTTGAATAAATTAGCACTATTATAAATCAATTAGAAATGAGAATAAACGGTAAATGCCACACGTACGCAGGGTGTCATACAAAATTTTCGTGCCTGCCTGGCGATTTTGTGTGTAGTATCTTCCTGATTGACGAAAATAAAAATGATGAAACAAGCAAGAAGACGAGAAAATGGTGTATACTACACGCGCAATTGTATACGTATATACAACACAAAACGAAGACTGAAATGAATTTTGTATAGTTTATCACGCACATAATTAACGAAACCAGAAATATGCGATGGAAAAAATGTAACATCGGACCGCGAAAATATGACCAAATTGTTTGACTATCCAGAATTCAGAAGAACTGTGTCGAAACTCATTCGGAGTGAACGATTTTTATTTTTTTATTATTAAACATTTAATGATCAACTAAAAATTAATAATTAATAAAAAAAAATAATTACTATAAATAGAAACCGAACTATAAAACGAAACGAATGTTGTTAGAATTTACGATAAATAATAAACGAGTTACAATTCTTATGTGCCTGGCATAGGAAAAAACCCACAATTACAAATAGATCTAATAATAATACTTATAAAAATAATAAATATAAGCACGTTAACTTATTCTATCATGATTCCTAAACGGCTACGTTAATGTAAAAATGCATACACACACACACGCTGTATTACGTATATTCTACATACACATTTTATGGATAGCCGTAAATAACGCTATTTGTGTACATACGTGAAAATATTTAAAAATACACACACAAATATATGTGTACGTGTGTACACTTATGTGTATGCAGTCATATATATGTGTGTGTAACTAACTGAAATGCGCTTACACACAATTATAAAATAATATAATTAATATTTATAATAACAAATTTGTCATTGTTTTGGCGAAGTAATTATGATTACCAATAAATTCTTGGTTTGTATATTTATCTAATAAATAGTAAATAGACAAAATGTTAATTTTGCTCGGTACAAAAGGTTAAGATTACAATATAAATAATAAAATCAAAAAAATGAACTAATCATAACAACATAAAAAATAATAATATTGTAGTAATAAATAATATTAAGTAGTAAGATATTTTAATCAATTGACACCTAATCAATCATTACAAATCAAAACTATATTGTAAGAACAAAATGATCCAATGTGATTGGTTCATTGTATGTAACCCAATTCAAACAGTCAGCTGATTTTCAATTAACGCCAATCTTTCTCATTTTAGCCAAACCCATTTCACTGGTGTCTGCAAGGGAAAAGAATATAAAAAATATTTACTAAAGAAAAAAGCTATAGTATATTAATTATTTGTAACTAATGTGTGAAATGAGACAAAGGAATAGAAAATATCTAGAAAGAAAAGCTATACACACCTTACTATAGACTAATCCTCAAGCAAGTTTCAAAGCTAGAATGTTAAAAAATGAAAATATTATACATTAAAAATGATTTTTAAAAAAGTATTCAATGAACATATAAAAAAAGACAAAAAAAGACAAATTAAATAATGGAGAAGAGAAGCACATACCTTCAAGAGACTCAACAGCAAAGTATTGTACATCTATGTCAGGATCTGCTTTTAATTTCTGCAAGCATGGTTTCACTTGTTGCTGTAGGAAGCTGTGTACAAAAAAAAAGTAAGTTAGCCAATCAATTAACTGGTTTTGAGCCACGCTATACACACACGCGCGCGCGCACACACACATAGAATATATTTTCATAGACTAAAGTATATATAATATTTACATCACGCTATGCCTCTTAATGAAATAAAGACATTAGACAAGGGGTTAAAATTTAGTAAATAAAAAAAAACATCCAATTCACAGTCAATAATGTGAATAAAAGTAAACACAAAGAAATGAGATAAAATGATTGAAATGAGGAATGCAAGTGAACAAAGAAATGAGATGAAACTAATGAAATATAGGAGGAACAAATTGTACTTTTGATCGAACATGGGCCCAAGCCTCTGAAGTGTCTTTGCAACATTGAAGCGAACATTTGCAACATTGTCTCCAGCCATGGAAAGAACAGTTGGCATCATCAACTTTAGAGACAGTTCAGAGCCACAGACTTCTGCCAAAAGCTGAACAACATGTATACATTTACATACTTATTCTGTGTATTTCATTGTTGAAAAAATAATTTGATACTGGACAATATACCAAGTTTATTTTAACAGAACTCGAACAAATCTTTGCAAAAAATGCTGTATATAGCACAGTACTGGTAGAACAGCAATGACTTACATTAATGCTGAAGAGACAAGTTAGTCGATGTAAATAATTTTGGTCCTTAGACATTTGGATGACCTTTGGGATAGCTGTCCCCTGGGCCCATTCTACTCCAAATTTTTCAACTAACTTCTTCAAGTTCAGAGTGGCTGCCTCACGGATGGCATACACTGGTCATTGGAGAACAAAATTGCAGCAAACAAATGTAACCAAATTTGGAAAAAAAAATTAGAAAAAGTTGAAGAGAGGAATGATGTTTAATAAAAAAATACGAAAAAAAATTAAGAAATTGTATTATAAAAATAGTTATCTTGAAAGCATGACCATCAAGTAAATGATCTACCCACTCTTACTACACATCAACATTCACATAAGGTACTCTTAGAATAATCACCACGTCTCTCAACTCAATACACAATAGATTGAGATAAGTCTACTTTCAACAGCTTATTGCAAGTATAACTAATACTAGTTTATGATATCTTTATCATTTTTATAACTCTCATTGGAGTTATTTTTTTATTAAGACTTTATTATTATTATTACGTTATTATTTTATTATTATTTTGTTATTATTGCTAATTCTACTATTGCAATCTTGGTCCTCAGCTGAGATTATAAGTACATAACTGAATTAATAAATCCTAATAAACTAATAAAACATAATTAGCTGAACTGATTGATTGATTAATTAATTAATTAAAAAAACATTCAACAAGATGCTGACCATGATCAAGAAGCCACGCCATGAACAGTGCATTCAACTTGTCATTGAAAAACTCTACACCCTGATTAATTTTAATTTCATTTCAATGTAAAAAAAATTAATTATTACAATTAATCACCAATAATTATCATATTAATTATCATATTATAATTATCATAAATAATCAACCAATGATTAACCAATTGCCCGGCTAGCAGCGGCATGTACTCAATGATAGCCAGTCTAACTCTCCACTTTGAATCTTCAGCCAACTCTACAATTGCTGGCAGGATGCTCTGTGACAACTGCTTCACACCTATAACCTTCATTTTGGTATAATTAAATTAAATTATGCCTTACTTTACTAGGTTAATTATTCAATAAATAATTCATTTTTTATTTTTAGAGCTAAAATAAAGTAAGGTGTAAGTTATATGTATACAACAAGCTCAGTTGAAAAATATTAAAGCATGAATGAATTAAATGTTTTACTGTCTGCTAATAATAACAAATTAAGCTACAAATTAAACTACAAATAAACGACCAATCTATTAAATAATTTGCCAAACATCAATCCAACCAATCAACCAACCAGTCAATCAGTTAGCTAACAGGCACTAACTTCATTTACTCTTTCCAGATTGGAGATAATGTTCAACCTCACTTCAGGACAATCATCTTTCAGTTGTGTCAGGAACAATGGTAGGAGGTGCTCAACAGTGCTAAATTTGAGATTAATTTCTTTTTTTTTAGAAAATAAAATAAAATGAAAATGCTTCAAACAAGCAAGCCAACATAGACAAACTAATAAACAAGTACAAACAAACAGGCACAAATAACCAAATAATCCAAAAGAAAGAAAACAGCACTTCAACTAACTTTTCTCTGCCAAGAACAGTGGAGAGACCCATGATGACAGATGCCAGGGCAGACTTGACATGTGTGTTGGAATCAGAAACCAGCTCCTTCAGGCAGGGAAGTATGTTGGTCATTATTATTTGCTCCCTGCTGTCCACTGGCAAGTTCTCACAAAAATCTAACAGCATGATCACGTTGGTGTTGGTGAAGAAGAACATTCATTTATATAACTAATTATTAATAATTCCAATACACATCAAAAGAATCTAGATAATCGTAATTACTGCAAATTAAAATACATCCAAATCATCATAATCAATGTCATCATCAGCCATAACAACCAACATCATCATCAACATAATAACTATCATCACCTCTACTATCATTATCATCATTATCTAACCTTTAACCTTCTGTGCTGCAGCAGCCCTTACCTCAGCCTCACAGTCCTTCAGAAGACTTTGAAATGCTGGTACCAGTTCACTCTTTGTAATTTCTGGGCCAACTGCCTTTTGCAACTGTTGAGAAAAACATTAAACATAATACAAACATGGGTGCATAAGAAATTTAATATGTTGCTATCCTGAGCTATTAAAACTCGAACATACTTTTAACATTAAATGGTCATCGGTAGAGTAATGAGGAAATAAGTTAACCAGGAAGAATAAAAACCTGACCTCTGTGAACTTGTCAGCAATCATGTACCTCACCCTCCAGGACTTGTCAACAGCTGCTTCTCTCAATGTCGGCATCACTAAATGTTCAGTGTCCTCTGGAGATAACAGAGATGCTATGCTACCACATGCTTCAATTGCGAGCAATCTCACAGAATCCTAATCAAAAATACTAAGTATTAATGACCATTGAAAAATAAAAAGAAACTATTATAAATGCATATTCAAATGAATAATGTTTTATGATAAAGCTGTTAAAACAAGCATTAGTTTAGTTACCTGTTCATCACTAGCAAGAGCAGTGAACAGTGGTACCAAGTCTGATTTTAGGTAGTCCAATTCAATAACTTTAGCAAATTCACCTAACTTTGAAGCTACGGCACGTCTTACCATTGGGGTATCATCACCACAAAGATTACGAAAATTTCTGAGGTAAATGTTGTATTCAAATTTTGGAATCTTTTATGAATTTTCAAATTTCACCATCTGTTACAAAACAACACTTACTGTCTCAAATCAGCTTTAATTGCTGCCGAAACTCGAGGATAACAAACACTAAAGAGACCACAGACAGACATGCGAGAAGTGAACCAATCCCCCACAGCCAGTCGTTTCACTAATGGTACAAAATGTTTTTCCAGATCATCTTGCGAGTGTTGGGCTGAGATTAAACGGAGTGATTCAACAGCTTTTTCCCTTACTACGGTTTCTTCAACTGTTGCCAAACTTTCTAAAGGAAGCTAAAACAAATATGAAAAATTTAACAATTTTTTCAATAATAATATAAACAGAAAAGCTGATAGGAACAGTACTGACAAGTAAAGTGTGGACATATTCTGGACCACCAACGAGATCAGCAAATTGACCCAACTGCTCTGCCAATGCCAGAAGAACTTCATCCTCGTCATATATAGTATCTATTTTGACATAATTTTCTAAATACTGAAAAAATGCTGATAAAAAAAAAATGAAGCATCCAGGAACAAAAAAACTAAAAAAACAAGAACCTGTTAAAAATGGGATGAGTTCTTTTCTGGTTCTTTCTACGCCCAAAGCTAAAGCAATTGTTGACAGCTTTTTTATACTGTTGAGTCGTAGCTGAAAATGTCAATTAATAATAAAGATTTTTTATTCTTTCATAAATGAAACCATTGGAATTTCACAATTTCACAGTGGGTGTTGAGGAATCGATAAAAAGTTAAAAAGTGGTCAACAAAATGAGAAGCAATTGCAAACCTGAACATCCTCATTTCTTAATTCATCAATTAAAACCGCAATTGGATAAAGAGAATCATCACCGCCAGGAGAATCGTTAGCAGCCATCTTCCTTCTATATTATTAACAACAATGGCGATAGAAAAAGATGGATTGCCAACCAGGCTGTATTTCTATAAGATTGGTTACAAACGCTCAATTTTTGAATAAACCAAACTCAACATCGGTAATGCTTCAATATCCAAAGTTCAAAACTAATTTTTATCAAAGTAAACAGTTCTAACAATTGGAAACCGCTTTCTTTAAAGATATAAGCAACAATAGATTAATTTAATCAGTTATTTTGACAAAAATTTTTACTTTCACAATACTCAAATACTCGTCATTCATTACATTCTAATTAAATACATTTCGCATAGTCAAAATGAATTCAAACGACACAATATAAATGTTTTATTAAGTATTCACAATTCAAATTGGATATTTACTACTTACAAATTAAAATACTGTTATAACAAATGTAAATAAAACAAATTAGACAATATATTTCGCATAAAATAGATTTGATAAAAATAATTGTGTCAATCAAGTATTGTCACTGAGCTAGGTATTACATAGTTCAGTTGGTATTATATTTACAAATTGTCCTAATCCTGTGACATCCAGTTTGATTTGATGATCCTAACTTTGTGGGACTTCCACTTCCTTGGAAAATCCGTATTTTCAACTGTTTGCTTCGACACTTTCACTTTCAACTTTGGACTTGTCTTGTGGATTATCATTTCTTTTTCGGGTTTTAACCTTTTTTTACTGCAATTATATTTATAAAATTTGTCATTTTTACGTAATTGAAACATCATTTCATAATTATTAATCGTTTTAACTCGTTCTTGTGCATTGTGAGTTTGATAAAATCAGACGCAGACCTGCAGAAGTAGATGCAGTTTTCAAGGAACCACTGCTTGTAGCTAAACTTGGCAACTCCTAAAACATTAAAAAACAATAACAACAACAATAACATTAACAAAAATAAATACATTATTAAAAATAACATGCTTACAATAGCTTATTACAAATGGAAAATAAACATAAAACATAAACATAAACATAAAGAAAACATAACAGATACATAATTAATTAAATAGATAAAACAATAAATAAAACAAAACTTCCATAAACATGAAACATAAATGGAAAATAAAGAGATTTATTCATTTAAATTCTTCAAAGTTCAATTAATAAATTTAGTAAAATTTGCTTCAAATAGAAACCTGAAAACACTCCAGGGTTTATAACGTTGATAATAAACCAAATAGCAATGGCTAGTAAGATACTTAACAGAGCAAAAATCCAATCTATGAAGAAAACTGATACAGTGCAAGCTATGGCCTGTATTGGTCAAGAAAAGTAAAAGCTAATCAATCAATCAATCAATCAATCAATCAATCAATCAATCAATCAATCAATCAATCAATCAATCAATCTATCTGATAACAGATGATAGTAGATAACGATTAGTTACTCCAATAAGGGAGATACAAGGACAGGAAAGTTGTGCAAACGTCCAATCGTCGTTACATTGTAATATGAAGGAGAGCCTATAGCGATCTGTTGTGTTATCACCTAATGATGACGACCGCCATGACGATAATGATGATGATAGTTATGGTTAATAATAATGAGAACATTCTTTTATTTTCTTTTTAAAACATACATTGTAATTATAAAGTTAGAGTAATAAAACTTATAATGTTAATTGTATAGATAATCTACAATGCTCGCCATACATTTTAAATGGGCACAAAGAGAAATAGAATCAGCATTAAATTATGTTCAAATCTTGTTCCTATCACAGTAAATTGCGTAAGATGACGACACTACGGAATTAATTAGACTTCTATGAAAAGGGTCAGACCAAATAAAATTAGTTAATGATAGTTTAAAATATTTAAAAAATTTTCTGCTAAGTTGGTAATAAACCATAGAATTGATACAGGAAATTTCAAATGAATTTATTATAATATTTGAGATTTTCAATTCGTCTATCAAATTGTTATTAAAATTTTGAGAGTATTTTGATGTTTTATATTCTTTAGATTTAGAAAAATTAGATTCATGGCAAACTGTTAATTACAGTATTTCGATAGTATATAATAATAATAATAATAATAATAATAATAAACTTTTAGAACCTTCGTCAGGGGAAGATGCTGTGGAAAAACTATCTCGAGAGGCACTTTTTGGAATTTTGAGGTTTATCCTTAGAGATTTCATACTCGCTACATCGTTATCTATATCATTATCATTATTATTATTATCACTATTGTATTTGCCATTAATATTATTGTTATTTATAATTACATCGTCATCATTATTATCATTATAAACATCATCATCTTTGTCTTCATCATCATTGTGTCCGCTTTTATCGTCAAGTTTGAGCTCATTATAGTTCAGTTTATCGATACCCGCATCATCATTATTAATGATGTTATTATTGTTATGTATGTTGTAGTTGTTGTAGCAGTTGTTGTTATTGTTATTCTTGTTGATGACGTCATTCTTTTTTAATGAAGTTGTTGTTGTTGTGAGAGTATTTTTAATAGCGGTACCGAAATCAACGTGTTTGATGACTGCTGGCGATGTTGAAGCAGTTGCCCTTGTTGATGTCACAGATGACGTGGAAGCTTCATACTTTCTGATGTTTTCATTATCTTTGGTGTTCTGCCGCAAAGTTGTCGTCATTGTCGAGGATGACGACGTTGAAGATGGCAATGTTAATTCCAACTCACTTTCACCTTTAAATGTTTTGTATTGTGGTTGAAATTTTAAATGTAAACTTGGCCATTAAACATTTAAAGGTACTCGAATGATGTTTATTAAAGAAAATTTAAGATTTAAAAAAAAAGAATAAAAAATAAAAAAATGCATTACTAAGAACACCACTGACCTTCCATAATCGATGACAATTTTCTTTCATCCATCCTTCTTTTACTCACCACACTGGACCCCTCTGACACGTACTTCCTACCATCAAGAAGCACATCTCTACTCAACAGCTGCTGCCTAATCGACACGGAAAGAAGGAAATAGGCATAATTGACGGTGGCGTACGTTAGCAGGAAGAGGATTGTGGTCACCTGACTAAGGCTGTTCAGCTGACCAATGAGTATGAAGATTAGACTGACCAGAGCTAGGAAGGCTGTGGCTATAACTGGCACTTTGTTTGGACCTTTCTGTGTGTGGTGTGGTAGTGGTGTTGGTGGTAGTAGTGGGGTATATGCTGGTTTTTGGATGAAGAATACGATTCTTGGATAATTAATCATATCACACATATCATATTCAACCAGCTAATCATATTACGTATATCAAATTCAACCAGCCAATCAAATCACGTACATAATTTTTAACGAACCAATAAACATACTTACAAAATAAATAATGAAATAATATAATTAGTAAATGAAAAAATGACGTAAAAAACAAAAGAATGAAAGAATTAAACTTTGCTCGAACGAACGATGGAGAAAATTATTAAATGAGTAAATAAATGAATGAAGCAACTTACCCCGGTAGCAAGGGGTTTTAAAATTTTGAAGACCTGATCAGCTGCGAGGCCTTGGAGGGCTTGAGGACAGCCAGTGAGGTTACCCACTGCCGATGATAGCGACAACTCGTACAGGCCTATCAACCAAAGTATGCCTGTTCCTGAGATCTGATGAACGAGTGAAAGAGTGATTGAATGAATGAATGAGTGAATGAATAAATAAATAGATGGATGAATAGATAAATGAGTAGATGGATGGATGGGTAGATGTAGGGTCGATTCTAATGGGGGCAAAATGGTACACCGCCAACTTTTTTGCTGTCTGGGTATAGTCCGTGCAAGAAATTATTGAATTAAAAATCAAACAAAAATTAATAAATGTGAATGATATAGAAATGAACACAGACTAACAAACGAACAAGTAAATGGGTGATAAACTGTGGGCAGGTTAAAAAAATTATAAACATCATCATCCTCTAGCAGATGACACAATCAAAAATATCCTTCAACATCATCACATCATCATTATCAGTTTTGTTATCATCTGTATCACCGTCTTATGCTTATCATCATCATCACATCACTAGCATCATCATTATCAGTTTTGTTATCATCTCTATCACCGTCTTATGCTTATCATCATCAACACCACTAGCATCATCATTATCAGTTTTGTTATCATCTGTATCACCGTCTTATGCTTATCATCATCAACACCACTAGCATCATCATTATCAGTTTTGTTATCATCTGTATCACCGTCTTATGCTTATCATCATCAACACCACTAGCATCATCATTATCAGTTTTGTTATCATCTGTATCACCGTCTTATGCTTATCATCATCAACACCACTAGCATCATCATTATCAGTTTTGTTATCATCTGTATCACCGTCTTATGCTTATCATCATCAACACCACTAGCATCATCATTATCAGTTTTGTTATCATCTGTATCATTGTCTTATGCTTATTACTTTTATTATCACTACACATTTTCAGGACTCATTTTTACCATCTCCGTAACCGTAATTATAACCATCACATCCTAGTCACAACCATCAACGTCACCAATATTGCGATCGTTATCAGGATCGCCATCATCTTCTTCATCATCATCACAGCACCGTCCTCCTTGTTTATAATCATTGTCCTCATCATGCTTATAGCCAGAGTACTTAGTTGTAGTTCGTCCGTTACATCTGCAACATTACATCGCCATCAGCTGTATAACCAGAACTGTAATAATCACCATAATTCTCATCATTTTTTTAATCATCGTCATTATCACTTTAATCATCGTCATTATCACTTTAATCATCATCACTTTAATCATCATCATCGTCGTCATCATCATCAAGCACCTTCTCAGCGATCATGTAGTCAGAAACAAGGAAGCTTCTTTCGCATGTGGCAGCCAGAATCAGGCCGATTAAAAAGTAAATCCCTGTACTGTGAGTAGTGATGATGACGGTGGAGATGATGATGATGATGATGATGAAGATGATGATGACGACAACGATGATGATGATGATGATGATGGTGATGACGGAGAACACGACGACGACGATAAAAACTAAGATGATGGTCACCTTGATGATGGCCATAAAGATGGTGATAATGCCAATGGTAATGACGATGATAATGACAACGATGACAGTGACGTTGACGATGACGTGATGATGACGAATTTGAAAAATTATTACCAGACCTAATTCCAATGGCTCCCAGGGACCCTTTAGGGATATCCTTTGGTGGGTTGCGTACATCGATACTCATGTTGAACCCGGCAAGTACGCCGCAGGACATGGGGAAGAAAACACCCAAAATGGTGAAAAAATTTTCTCCGCGAACGTACAGCGGTGCGATGTTAGCAATGAGAGTTGATCTGTTGTAACCTACGACTCCAGAAGCTGATGGTGATAATGGCGGTGATGGTGGTGAAGGAAAAAATGATGATATGGTGATGTCAATGATGATAATAATGATGATGAAGATGAACGACGGAACGACGATGATGATAACGATTATGACAATGACGATTCGGATGGACTGAAATGAAGAAAGGAATTAATGGTTGAAATAATGCATTATCACCATCGTCATCAGCGTCATCATCATCAGCGTCATCATCACTACCATCATCGTCGTCATCATCATCACCATCTTCATCATCGTACCAGGATTAGAAACAAAAAAGGACCCAACAATGAAATCAAGTATGGCGATGAAAAGGATGATGATGAGGAGGATTTGTAGGCCAATCATCCAGCTTACACCCAACACTGCAACTCCTAGTAATGATGACGATGATGATTACGATGATGACGATGAAAATGACGATTGTGTTTATGAGGGTGATGATGATGATTATGATGATGGTGGTGGTGATGATGACGACGCTAATGACGATTACTACCATACCATGATGATGATGACGACGACGACGACGATTACTACGATGGTGATGATGATGATGAGGACGATGGCGATAATTAGGATGATGATAATATTTAGGAGAAAAATAATGATGAAGAGATAATCGGTGATGATGTTTGTGATGTTGATGATGAAGAAGATGATGATGAAGAAGAAGAAGATGATGAAGAAGAAGAAGATGATGAAGAAGAAGAAGAAGAAAAAGAAGAAGAAAAAGAAGAAGAATAAAAAGAAGAAGATGATGAAGATGATGATGACGATCGAACATTACAATGATAATGATTATTTTTATTTTCTGATTTTCTGTAATCATTAATGAAAGTTTTTATAGCACGGAATTAATATTATCATAGATAATAACAGTAAGAATAACAATAATAATATTTAGAAAAACAAAAAGTAAACTCAAGTAAGAATATTATGATGATAATAGTCATAATAATAATAATAATATTAATAATGATAATAATAATAATAACAAAAGCACATCTGCCGCCATGCATTACCCCACCATATAATATTTTATTTCATAAGTGAACCAAGTAGGTTTAAATTGATTAATTATCTTTTATTATTATTATTATTATTTATTATTATTATTACTATTATTATTATCATCACTGTTGTTTTTATTGTTGTTATTATTACTATTGCTGTAACGTAGCTAGTATTTTAGTAAGTTCTAGCAGCATATCAACAACAGCTTTTTATTATTATTATCATTGTAGACAATAATAATAATAATAATATTAATATAAAACAATAATAATAATAAATAATAATAATAATAATAAAGTGGACAGCTTAGCCTACCAAGAATGAACAGCAAGGCAGCACAAGCAATCAACTTCTCCATCCATATGTTGTTCCAACCCAGCAAGTTTGTAATGGACTCGCCGAAAGCCAATACGCACAATGAGCAGGCTATTGCCTTTTTCGAAAAATGATGACATATTGTATATAGCATGGTGTTTTTTTTTTAAATTTTTTCATATTACGAATTTATGTTTCTTTCTTGATATATTTTTTCATTTTTTTGTAGTTTATTTGCTCGTTCGTTCATTTGTTCGTTCGTTCATTTGTTCGTTTATTCGTTTGCACATTCATTCATACGTTCATTCATTTTTCCTGTTCGTTCATTTGTTCATCTACTAAACTGTGGTCAACACATAGATAAAACGCCCAAAAACAGGCTACTTATAAAATATTAGCACCTCATTTGGCATTGAAATTATATTAAAATGAAAGACGAATGTAAATAAAAGTCATTTTTAAGAATTAACAAATTAAGAGTTAATGAGTTAAAAGGTAGCTAATAAACGATTAACTAATTGAGAGTTAATTAAAAATTGGCGGCTAATTGAAAATAACTAATTAAGAGTTAATTAATTAAAAGTTGTTTCACAAACCTGGCCGAAGCAGTATAGCAGCGCGATAGGCGTGGCCACCTTACTGCCGAGAACGTGCGAGATGAGCGTGTAGACGCCACCAGTGCAAATTATGCGACTCTTGTGGCTAATCCCGATGGCACTGAGAACTGTTACGATGGAAACGGCCTCTGTGAGGATGATTATAAGGATTGTGTAAGCCATCCCAGCGTTGCCCTGTGTGTTTGTTTTTGTTTGTGTGTGTGTGTGTGTTTGTTTGTGTGTGTGTGTGTTGGTGAGTGACTTTGTGGCTGTGTGTGTTTGTGTGTAACTGTGTGTATGCCAATGCGTTGCTGAGATATCTAAATGAATGTTTTTTTTTATTGAATGGACTTGTTTAATTAACCGAGATACCGACGAGAAAAATTAAACCTCGCTTTAATTAGTGAAAAAATAAAATATTGTTCTAAAGCAAACAATTTATTCGATCTAACAAATTCAACCTAATTTTTAAAAATAACTTTTTCTAAAAGGTCATAACATTTTTTGATGAGATCAACTTTATATAAATCATATTCTTACAATAAAATTCACCAAAAAATAAATAATTTCTCCGAAACTCCCACCCACCACGATCCAACCGGTCCTGAGAAAGATGACAACCCCAAATATGTTGAGCATGCATGAAGTGAACACTCCATCCCATGCCCCAAACAAAATTGGAGGGGAAGATAAGTTGAGGGTAGATCTCCACCAGGGACTGTTCTCACCCTCTTCCATTGGGACTGACTGTGTGTGTGGGTATATGCTTGTGTGTGTGTACTTGTATGTGTGTGTGTGCGTATGTGTGGTGTGTAGATTTGTTAATCTATTGTTTTGTGCTGTTGTTGACAATACTTGACATAAATGAGTCATTTCTTTTTTTGATTTCATTAATTGAAACTTGATTTGATTTCATCTGTATTGATAGACGCGTACGTACATTCAAGCACATTTTAAACGTCTTGACAAACGCTCTAATTTGAACGCAGAACTATAAAAATTCACTCAAAAGTAAAAGTTTACCAAATAGGAGTAGGCTCAGACTGTAGGAACACCATGTTTCGCGTGGATATTATTGTACGCTGCTCTCCGTAAATAACTCAAAAACTAACAAACATCTAGCTCTACTAGGATACGGTGGTTTGCACTCCTACTTCTTATTCACTCACTCACTCCAATCACTCACTTCTTTAAAAAGTTCCATGCATGAATCATCATCTTCATCGTTTTCGTCGTTAGCTGTATGCTTCTCTTCATGTTTTTGGAGGGAATTTGAATGGACTTGGCCAGTTTTGTCACTAGTAAATCCACTTTTTGTAAAATTTTTGTCGTTGTCGTTGTTGTTATTAATGCTGTGAACGTTGTTGTTGTTGGTAGTGGTAATATTACGGAGGCAGTCGTTATCGTTGTTGTTGTTTGGGAGATTGTGCCGTTGTTTCATAGACTTAAGATGGTGATTTCCTGTCGTGTTGTTGTTGTTGTAGTTGGTCATGTTTGTAATGTTGTTGTTGGTGTTGTTGTTGTTGTCGATGTTGTTGTAACTATTAAGAACGCTACCGCTAATCATATTGTTTATAACGATGCTAGGATGGTAAAGTAATTGTTGCTAGTGATTAATGAAGGATGGCTCAACTGAAAAATTTTGTCGGCAGACATGAAAAGTCATCGTTCTTCGTTGGGTTAGTAACGTTGTAAATTTATATTCCTATAACATTATATTATATTATTATTATTATAATTAAATTATAATTAATTTTAAATTATAATTAAATTATAAATTATAATTAAATTATA